AAAAATTAAAATAAAACGATGATTTGTCAGACATATGGGGATCATTGATATTTGCCTACATTATCTTAAAGTTTTGAAATTCCTATAATGATTTAATTTTATTAAAGTAATATTAAAACTATACATGGAGAATTTAATTAAATACCGACTTGCTACAATGCCGATTATTCCAAATGAAGTATAAGTTTTAAACGTTTCAAATATTCCATTGGTCGTCTAATTGTCTTGTTTGTTTGGAACTTTAAGATATATATTTTACGACATAGGCTACGGATCCAGCTCAATTGTTGTTAGTCGTGGCTCTTACAGTAGCTCCTAGCCATGTAACAATTAATAAGATTATTAGGCTATAAATTCATAATTCATACATGCAAAGTTCAGTTTTTAATAAATAAAAAAAAGTCAGAGGTAAAACTTTGACAGTCCGGCGCGATTCGTATTTTAAGAGGGAGCTGGGAAATTCTGCCAATCGAGCAGATCGCAGTCCCAGCCCAAAGCTCCAGTGTCCAGGGCGCCGTCTATACTTATCACTGACCGGAGAGACGCTGGGGCATGACGCTTAGATCCTATAATCGACCGTATTTGGAAAAGGCAGAACCCGCAGGTGGGGCCGCGCATGCAGAGCCCCCTGCATGTTCTTGCGGATCACGCCGTTCCGCAATGAGACGAGGCGGGTGCATGGGTGCTTTGGATCCCGCCGGATTTATTGATCAATAAGCCGGATCTTGTCCGTGGGGCGTTCCGGACAAACGAACGATCGCGGCGTCGGAGATACGGGTCCTATAAACAGCAACGCGTGCTTTCGATACGTACGGCTATGGTGAGCACGCAGAAGGGAGTGAACTAATAATAATAATAAAAAAAGACGACTGACATACCCGGCCGTCATGGTAATGTTATAAAACGTGAGCCATGCGGTAGCGATGGCGCTTTTGCTGCGCTTCTTGTTGTTGTTCTCCTTCTCTTCCACCGAACCGTCCTCCTCGCTGGACGCCATGGTACCGGGGACAGTAGGGAGGGGTGCGGGAGCGCAGCTGACAGCTGGGGCTTGGGGTCGGCGGGGTCATGCATCCATGTGGCCACGGAGCCCTTCTCGCGGGACTACTGGCCCGGCACCGGGCGCCTGGCACGGAATGGGCTGAGAAAGCTTATTGGAGAAGTGGGTACGGGAGGAAGCCTTGGGCTTCAAACCCAGACAGGTGTTTCCCTATGTTTCCCCTATCCTGCGCTGATTTGTACACGGTTTCGCTGTTGTTTTCATGTCTTTTTAAGAAGCTCTTGAGGTAAACAAGCCATATATTTTAAAACATCACATGCTTTTCGATGTTTTTTGTTTTTACAGATAATAAATGAAAGTATTTAATTCGCTGGATAGAGATATTTATTGATGAAAACGGTATAGTATTGCTTATATAAGACTATATTATGCGTGACAATCTACTGTATTCACATGTAATAATGTACCTGAGTGATTTTCAGACATCAAACATACATATTTGACTAAATATTAGGAGAAACAATATTCCCTGATAGACAGGGGAAACATTGGGAAACCGAATTGCCCGGAACACCTGTATGCTGCGTTTGGGGGATGCATCGGTGGGTGCATGGTCGCACTTTAATGCGAGTCCTGTGATCATCAAGAATGAAATAAATGCAGAAAGGCAAGTCACCAGTCTTCTGGGGTTTTGCACAAGTTATTGGTAATTCGTCATTTTTTTAATAATAATATTTTAAGGCATTCAAGAGGTGGGTTGATAGGTCACGTTTGGTAAGTAGGGATTTGAAAATTAAATAAGATACACACGGTACTTTTTAGAGCATTTTAATACAGGATTGAGTAGTTTACATGAATGGATGTGCTTTACTGCCCCCTAGCTACACGATGGGGTACATTTTGGATAAAAAAGTTGACGGATTTTTGAAGAATTTGAGTTGATGGCGTTTATATGGAAAATATGCGAAAAATAAAAAGAGCTTAATATTTATTTTATTTTTCCAGTGTTTCAGCAGGACTTTCCCTGAGGTTGGAGATTCAAGTTCCATGGGGAATTTGCTGTGAAAGTTACATATCCAGTTTCATTTGTAAAACAGATGCCTTAAAGCATAGATGAAAAATATCTTGAAAAAATAAGCATTCAGCCCTATAGACAAAAGCAAGGTTGATGACTATACATTCAATGTGTGCATAGTTGGGATGCCAGTCCTTTAAAGATATCCAAGGCAGGTAAGAAAAATGAACTCAAATTATTATAAAATTAGATTAGATTAGATTAGATTAGATTAGACTTTATTAATCCCACAATGGGGAAATTCTTTGAAATAAAATAATAATCTTCTTAACATCAATATCATAACTGTATTTATGGTCTTAAAGATAAAATATTTTGTATTGTAAGACGATAAATGTGTTCCGAAATGTATGTCCTTTCAAAACAATCAAAACACACATCCATCCACCTGTTTATATAGTTTACTAAATGCTATATACTTGCTGAATTTTAAAAATGAATCTTTGTAGTTTACAAAAGGAAATCATTAATGACTATAATTATTAATACCTGTTAGCAGTTTGACCTAATGCTCAGTTAAAAATCTTTAATGCAGGGTATTACGCAAATTCGTGGATTGGACAATGATCCTATGTAACCTGTGACAATGTAGGACATCATTGCCATAACAACAGATATATTGTTCAAATGGCCAAATTCCCACTTTGCCATATTCCAGCTAGTTATCTAGGGAATTCTCGCTGTGGGGTCTGGAGACAGCTGGATAGGTTACACCTGGAGTTGCTTGGAAATGTACACACACAGTAGAAAATGTACAGATGCCAGTTCGCCTATCTGTATATATTAGGACTGCCAAAGGAAATTGTAGTAGACCTCACGACGACACACACACAGAGCAGAGACAGGATTCGACCCCACAACCCTGCGGAAATGCAAGGCGACAGTGCTGCCCAGTCAGGATCCACCTTCATGGCACGACGGATTTAAATATTCAGCGTACAATGAGTGTCCCAACGCATGCAGCATGTCTGTATTAATTGTGTAATTGAAAATTAATTGTTCATCAATGAATTGTTGTTTCTTGTTGCTATTTGCTGCCCCCTGGAGGATGGGCTCCCCCTTTGAATCTGGTTCCTTCTTCCTTCTAGGGAGTTTTTCCTTGTCACTGTCATTGTCTGGCTTGCTCACTGGGGTTTTTCTGGGCAGGGACAATGTTGTGAAAATGTGCAATACAAATTACATTGAATTGAATTATTTAGTATTTTTATGTTTTTACAGTAATTATTTGCCTAACTGAAGACAAGTGGTCGTCTTAGGAATATTCTGATTTGAAGCCCATCTCATAGATCTTTGGGAGTGGGGCTCGTGGTATAAGGTGTTGTGGTGTAAGGTGTCGTGGTATAAGGTGTTGTGATGGCCAGCGTTGCCGTAAATTGTCTGCTGTGAGTGTGTTGCCCTGTGATGAAATGGCATCCCGTCCAGAGCAGTGCCAGACCCAAGATCTTTGAAAAAGCAATACAAAAAATAATTAATTTTCTTATGTCTTTATTTTTATTCCAATTATTCACTCAACATTTATTTCCTTATTCCTTTACAGATTTACCTTTTTATGGCATTCCTGTGACTCCATTGTTCCATCTTATTTGTCTTAGGATGAATGGACACCGAATGAAATTGAAATAAAATAAAAGACAGTGTCCTTGGTGGGTGGCGTTTGGTGTGACACATTGGCTCATTTTAGGGGTGGGGGGTTGATGGCCTGCAAATGCCCCCCCGATGCCAGTGTCTTCTACTTTTTCGCACTTAGTGATTTAGTGAGTAATATTGTTATAATTATCTATAGTCTTTCTATGAGTTGGCATTCAAACAAATGCACCAAATAAGTAAATTTAAAAGAATTGTATAATGAGTTTATTAACTCATGGGTTTCTTGCTCATGAAGAGTTATATATATATATATAGGATTTTCTTTTTTCTTTGTAATCCCACAAATAAAATTCCATTCCCATGTCTGGGGTTTTACTATCTGAACTGGATAACAAGCTGCACTTTATATTTATTATTCTGGAATGTAACGCAAGCATCATTTGTTGTACATACTACGTCGTCTTTGCTACTTTTAACTTTGAAAGACATTTAAATTACATTTATGTTTATTTATTTAGCAAGGCAGGAGCATGACGCAAGCAGACTCAAACTAGTAAAATGTAACACTTTTATTATCTACAACAGCAAAGTTCCTGGCTTACATTCCCGTTATAATTTTCATTTTTTGAAAGGAAAAAAAATAAAAATGAATTATAGAATTGTTTATCTCAGACTGTTAATGAATTATACAATTTATAATGTATTGCTTGGGTGGTAATTTTAAGTACACACCTGTTTAGCTTTTGCAATAATTATGAAATACCTTCAAAAGTTACCATGCCTTCATATATTTTTCCTCTCTAAAAGAAACTGGTGTTTGGAGTAATTACACAGGAAAGAACTTCATCAAATAACTCGACACCTACAATTAGAGCATCAACGTTTGCGTTAAAAGCCATGCATAAAAAACCAAGGTAAATATTTGCCCCGGGAGTTTTAATTGCTGCGCAGTCATGTGATGTTGTCAGCCGACCCTGGGTCGGATCATTCCTTCGTCTGCTCCGGCCTGGGGACCGGTAGGCACCTCACAGAAAACCGCCACGCCTATTACTCAAAATTGCACAGAAATAAATATTTTTAATTCACGCTAGAGGCACGGCAGTCGCAGCACAGGGAGCGGCATACAGCCGAGCCGAGCCGTCCAGGCGCGACCAGAGACACCCCATTTCCCAGAATGCTTTGCCGCCGCCGCCGCCGCAGGAGAGTCTGAGGAGACCCGCTTGTCCGCTTATTATTTTCAATATTCCTTCATTTATGTGGCCATTTTCGCCTTTATTTGTGCGCTAGCTTCGCTCACACGGAGAGGGGAGCCCCCGCCGAGGCTTTCCGCGATGCCTCTCTTCACCTCCAACCCGTTTGACCACGATGTGGGTGAGTGGCGCCCGGCTTTTGTTTTGTTTTTCTTCACGCCTGAATCGGGGGTCTTTATCCCCGCTCCGGACTGAGGGTCCTAATCGACGGGGTCCTTAGCCCCAGAGCCGGGCCTTTTGATAATATAATTTGTTATACGGTGTGTCTGTCCCGTTAATAAGGCTATGATGTAGGTAATGAGCCGCCCGGTTACCGGGTTGTACCGGTACGCACCCGGGACGGGGCTAGAAATGTCACCCCGGCCGGCCCGGGGAGGTGGGTACGCGGGTGCCCGGTGACGCTACGCATATTGGGTAGGAAATCAGGAAATGCTGTTATTCTAATTAAAACACAACAGGCTTCTGTACCTTGCTCCCCCAACCCCCCCATCTCGCCATAAACGTTTTTTTTGTGTGTCTTTTTTTTTGTCCCCCCCCCCCCCATCATTTGCTATTTTCGGTCACAGCAACTTCATCACCTAACTAATAAATTAAGATGAAATGTAAGATGAATCCTTCAAGAATAATATAGCGTGTGGCATTTATTGGTCTTTATATATAGTCTTTGTTTCTCGGAGACCTTTTGCCTGGGGGGGGGGAGGTTTATATATAGGTGGTGGCTTCTGCCATTTCTCCATTATAACCAACCACCCCTCTCATTATGGTGGCGTGGCACTTTCAGTCCCAAGTCCAAACCAAGAAAAACTGGCCTTTTTTGCACTCAGGACTAGGTCTGCGTGGTGAATGTGGGGTTTGTATACCATGGTTTCAGTGAGTTATGCTAATGACGTGGAAGATGTATATGCAGCCCATAGTGTCTGGGACCCGGCTGTGGTTAAACATTATTAAATTGGTTGTGTAAAGGTACAACAGTTGTACCCTTTAATGGGATTTAAGCTTTGCCTGCTGACTGCTTGCCTTGTGTATAATGCCGACAAACGATGGCATTGATGCTGGTTTAAACACAAGTGCGGGACCCCTAAGTTTTCCATAATGTTGTCATTGTGCGGCTGCCGGAAACGGCGGGTTTCAAACCAGACTCCCTGCACCTACAGTTGGTGTCACTTTCATCTATCCCTTCTGAAGCTGTATGCTTTGATACCTCCTGATTTTAGTGCGTTTGCCGTCCGTAGCTTGGACAAGCATCCAGCAGCACAGCAGGGGGCAAAATGGTTCAGGACACATGGACACAGGGACCCGTCACTAGACCCTGTGTACATGGGGATAAGAGGAAAGTGGTGAAGGAATTTATTTAGGGACAGGATTGGATTTTTAAAGAAGGGGAAGCAATTAAACTGAAAAACAACTATCTAGGCATATGAATGGGGAGATGTGCAACATGGGTGGGATATAGATGGGGGTGTCCGATTAAGGGGGCTGACTGTTGAGAGTCAGGTGGGCAGACGGAGAGGGGTGGGGGGAGTTGGCGCTCCACCCCACCCCAAACTGACCGTGCTATCTCCCTATCTTACACGTTGGGGCTCTGGAAAATGGCCTTTAATCAAATTGTGTTAAATGAGCGTAGGATATATAAGTTCCGTATACAAATGGGCTGCTTAAGACTGTAGTTTTGGTGCCAAGAGCTCATCATAATCTTCTGGATTATGTATGATGCTGTTCTGTTTACGTATTGGGAAGATTTCTCTGGGACGGGCTTGTCTTTGTGCTGCTGTGCATGTGCTTGCCTGTTGTATTGGTACTTCTGGGTGGGAGCTGCATGTCACTAATAAGAGCCCAAGATTTACTTTCTGTGTTTTACTTAAACCATTTTTAACTAGTTGAGCTTTTTAATGTTTGAGCCCCTGTATATTTTCTGTCCCAGAGCATTTAGTATCAGGCCTGGATTATTGGTACATTTTATTGCCATTAGTAAAAGTGTAACTGATTCTCCTCTAATGACTCACCCACAGAGAGTTTGACGCTTAGCAGTGATGAGGACACTGGTTCGAGTCCCAGGGGAACCCTGTCATATAGTTTAGCAAGATAAGTAACCAGCTACAGAAATGGGTATGATTGTAGGTCTTTCAGTGCAGCTCTGTTATGACGATGATGATGATGATGATTACTGTTAAGTGAGTGTAAGATTGGGTGGGGGTGTGATAATCCTGCCCCCATAATTCACTTGTATCATTTCCCTAATAGCATTAAAGGGTATAACGCTGGCCTCACCACATGCACAAACCCACTTGTCTGTGCCTTTGCTACCTCTTGTTTTCGTTCCTGTCTCCCGTCCATAAAAGCCCCACATCCCTCCCTCCCCGTCGCTGTGTCACGTGGCCGCGGTCGCCATCAGGACCGGAGGCACATCCTTCAATTATGAGCTTTAATACAAATAAACAAAGTAACCAGGCTTCTACTTAACCGGGTGAAATTTGAGCCTGATGATGAGCAGCTACCCCTTAATGTGGTGCATAATGGTGCCGTGAGGCTGCTTTTCGAACTGTAAAGCCTCCCCGTGTCTCTCCTCTGCAGAAAAGGCCACCAGTGAGATGAACACAGCGGAGGACTGGGGCCTCATTCTCGACATCTGTGATAAGGTGGGACAGTCGCGCACAGGGTAAGTCTGACTCGGGCCCTGCTGAGTGGAGGTGCCCCAGTGGGGGGGCGCGGATACCTTCCTGGGTGGCCTGAAGCCCCCCCCCCCCCGATTTCCGCCGTCGTCAATCCCAGGATTGTGTTGGGTTGCACGTTCCCAGCTCCCTGGATGTGGTTCCTGTCCGCAAGAGCCACGGTCCTACAGGTTTCTGATGAGGTTCTAATTAGGATGTCTAAAGGGTCACTTCTCAGATACCTACTGGGCGTAGCCTGTAAAAAGAGGCCAACCCTGCAGCTCTGGGGGGGGCGGGCAGGGCATTTGCAGGGTGGACACCGTCTTTGACACCTGTACAATCCAAGGCTCTGGAATTCGGTTCAGATTATCTTTATATAGCGCCTTTCACAACACTGTTGCCCCAAGGCCATTGACAGTAGTGTGTGGCTAATTCATTGCTACATCACTCATACAGTATGGTCCATGAAACATGAAAATGGGAAAGAAAGTGCCAGTAGACAATGGACGAGAAGAACCAAAAACCAAGTAGGGAGAAAAACTGGAAAACACCTCTGGGTGTCGAAGGTCAACTGGCTGCTCATGTTTTTGGACAGTAGAAAGACTCAGTTTTGAAAGAAGCAGGGTATAAACAGGGTCGTAATTAAGGAAGCATTATTTAATACAAATAGAAATGTGATCAGCTGTTTATTATGAGTTGCGCTATATGGACCAAAGTATTGGGAAATGCCTCTTAATCATTGAGTTCAGCTGTTGCATTCAGACCCATTGTACAGGAGTATAAAATCAAGCACCTAGACATGCAGTCAGGTTTTCAAACATGAATGGGTTGTTCTGAAGAGCTCAGTGAATTCAGGCGTGGTGATGTCATAGGATGCCATCTTTGCAATAAGTCAGTTTGGTGAAATTTCTTCCCTGCTAGGTTGGGTAAACTCAGTGGTTTCCAAACTGGGGGGCGTGCCCCCCTAGGGGGGTGCAGAGGTATTGCGGGGGGGCGGGGGCACCAATGGGATATCCTCAGGGGCATGTGCCACCCTAAAATAATCTCTTCACAGACTGGACAATTAAACAAATAAAGCAGCGCAACATTACAGTAACTAACAGTAAATGAACCACTAACTTACGTGTACTATTAGAGCATTTATGACATTAATTGAAACTTTATTTTACCAGGTAAATTAACTGAAAACCAGTTCTCACTGCTTTACGTGATATTCGGGAGAAATAGCAGATTACGCATCGGAAGTTCCTGGGATACAAACGTCACGTTCTTCAGCCAATAACGGTTCTGCTCGATTGTAGTTCCTTGGAGCCAGTTCCAGAACCATTTTTAATACCTACTCTAGAGTACTTTTTCATTCGAACAATGACTGCTTGCTTATTGGTTGACCACATGCACGGGCACTAACTTGGAAGTTACACCGAATTGCGGCGAAAAGAGAGAATTAGCGGAACAGAAATTGAGCAGACTGAAACATTTTTGTACCCCAGTTACATTTAGTGCATCAGTTTAATACATTTTTGCTTGCATCTCCATATTTCTGCATTGGAATATTCAATCACTGACCAATATACTCTTGTCTAATATTGCCAATGCCAGTGATGAAACTTGCCAGCACTTTTAGTGGGATAACATTACATCGATTTTTTTTTTAATTTTTATTTTTTTATTCTGTTGAAAATGAATGATTGATCGGCTGGAAAATTTTCATAAGAATCATGAACATGTTGTGGGTCATATAAGTAAAATTATAAATAAAAGGCTGAGTCGCGTAGTGATCACGATTGATTCCCCCCCGATAATTAACTACCAACTTATTTATCCTCTTATTGTTTTGGCGTAGTTGGTGTAGTTTTTGTATGAAATTGTGTGAAGTTTAACCTACAAACGTTTTGTGTCTCATTATTATTTATCATGATGGTCCCAGTTTTTCTCGTGCAGTATGAAAACGATACATGACAAATGGCTAGCAACTACAAAAGTTCCAGGTCGAGACAGCCCAGGAACTTGTAAACCAAGACCAGCTTCCGGAACCTTTGTGTAAAAGCATCTGTTGCAAAGTGTAAGGAATGTCAGCTGCAGAGTGCTAAGCCATGTTCAGTAACAGAGTGGGGTCTCCGTGTGCTGGGGCTCATAGCGTGTAAAACTCGCCAACGCTCTGACGCAAGAACTGCAGAGTTCCAAACTTGGACAATTCTATGCTTCCAAGTTTGTGGGAACAGTTTGTTTCCAGCATGACTGTGCCCCGGTGCTCAAATCAAAGTCCATGGATACATGGTTAAGTGATTTTGGTGTGGAAGAACCTGACTGACTCTCAAAGCCCTGACCTCAACCCCATCGAACACCTTTGCATTGAACTAGACGGGAGATTGATGTGAAGGCCTGGCTCGCAAACATCAGTGTCTAACCTCACAAATGCTCTTCTGGATGAATGGGCGAAATTCTCAGACACACTCCAAGATCTTGTGGATACCCTTCCCAGAAGAGTGGCAATTGTTACAGCTGCAAAGGGGGGACCAACTCTCTGTATTGATGCCTATGGATATAGAACGGCATGTCATAAAAGTTCCTGTGGGTGTAATGGCCTGGTGTCCCAATATTTTTGTCCCTATAGTGTATGAACTGCGGCAAAGACAGGGAACGTTCATAGAGGTATTATAACCAGCTACGTAAAACACAGTGCAGCGTTATAGCTGTTGTAGACATGCCACAGTGACCGCTTACAATAACACGATACAGGGCAATTGGGGTGGGGGAAAAAATGAGGTGGGGAGCATCACAGGTGCCCTATGCGGCTGCCAAGGTCATGCAGTAATACGGTGTGGAGAATGGTATCTGAAACCAGTTTGTTTAACCAGGTCTTCTCTGGGTTTTCTGGGGGCATGAAAAAATGATGAAAACAAGCTGATCTTCCTTTTAAACTGTAAACTGTTTTAAACTTAAAAGTCTGATGGAAAGCCTGTCATAACATGGTCTCGACTGTCTTGACTTGTTGATGGCGCGTGGCTCAGTGGGTTAGGTCTCTACGCTTGTGATCAGAAGGTTACTGGTTCAAATCCCATAGTCATCAGAGTCATGTCACCGCTGGGCCCTTGAGTAAGGCCCTTAACCCCCAGTTGCTCCAAGGGACTGGCTGACTCTGCTTTTTCAATTGTCCGTCACTCTATCAGGCATTTTAATGTAATTAAATATAAGTGCCTTTCTTTTGTGTGATATATTTGTCTTGATATCACAAGTCAAAGGGCATTGACATCAGCTTTTTAGGGTTCAGGCAGCCAGGGAGGGAAGTAATTTTGTAAAATATTCCTGCCTTTCTCTTCTAGTATGGAAGATTCACTCGCTGCCCTTGACAAAAGTTAAAATATGCATGTTGAATATACTCCAGAAAAGGTTATTTGCCAGTTTAGCTGAGAAGTATAATGTTTCAAGCTAAACTTTTTTCCAGGTTTAAACTATTAAAACAGATGGACTGATTTTGGGTCTGTGTTTTTTTGTTTGGATCGGGGTGCTCTGGGGGGTTCGGTCGTTATGTGTTGTGATGGGGTAGCCAACACAGGAAGTGACCTCGTAGGTAGTGATTGCTCTAACACATTTTCCTAGCTGAGCCGTCAAAAAAAAAAAAAAAAAAACATGAGAATCCCCTGGGAATATGATTGGCTGATGCGGTCACCTGAGTCGGCAGCGAGTCACCATGGCGGCGGTCACGGCCGGGTGGGAGGCCCAGAAGCTGGGTCCTGCGTGGTGGGATGGGTTGGGAAACTGCACCGAGGCACCTTCTAAAATTAGCACCGCCCCCTGAGCCTGCATGCGAGGTGTAGTGTAAAGCGAGGACACGGATAGCCCCCCCCCCCCCCAAATATAGAGCAAGCCGCCTACTCCTGATCCGGTTACACCCAGTTAAGGTTCTGCCCTGGGAGTGATCAATTCACACTGTCTGCCTGATGGTTGTCTGTCTGGGCTTGCTTTTTTTTTTTTTTTTGTACATAATTTCTTATTTTTTTCAAGCGAATGTCTGAAAAGTCACAACTGGATGCCTTCAGATTCATAGCATTTTAAGCTGAATGTGTTTAATTATAGTTTATTGCTGTCTGACTACACTTGCTCTGCAGATCTGTAGCTGTTACCATAATGAATGTACGAACACTGCAATGAGTTTAATGCATGTTAAATGTCATACTGTTAAGGAGGCTTAATTTTAGTTGCCGGCTATTTTAAATTTTGAGTTGAGGCCTCTTGAATCCAGGTAAAAAAATCTTCCCGTATCCTCCAGTGATTGCGAACATTCTGACATCTGTCAGTTTTGTTGTGTGTTTTGTTAATATGGTATTTTTAATAATTTTATTACCTCTTTATTTTAAAAACCATTCATAAGTGGCCACTTTATTGGGTACACCCAGCTAGTACCCGGTGAGACCCTCTTTATTGGGTACACCCAGCTAGTACCCGGTGAGACCCTCTTTATTGGGTACACCCAGCTAGTACCTGGTGAGACCCAGCAGTAGACACTGGCGGCATTTAATTTTTATGACCTTCCAGACATTGGACTGTGGTATACGGTATTTTGGTGTTTGAAAAAGCAGTGGTGTTCCACCATTTCCCGAAATTTGCCACTTGTTGGCCCTCATCTACCTCCCTCGCATGTCATCTGCCTCCATCGACGTCGTGACAGCTTCATTTAATACGTTTTAATGTTGCGTAGGTCACCATTATAATGTTTAACCAAAGAATACCTGAACCTCCAGAACCTTGTGTCACGCCCGGCCCGTCCGATCCTCCTGTGTGCCACGCCCACCTCGTTACCTCGTGTTACTACCCAATTGTCATCACCTGCTCCTTGTTATTTCCTGCCCATCTGGTGTATTTAGTCCGCGTCTGTATCTATTCCCTAGTTCCGTCATTGATGTTTGCTGTTCGTCGCTGTGCGCCCTGAATAAACCCCCGTGTTATAGTATTCACGGCTCTCTCGCCTGATTCCCCGCTCGCCCGACACGGACCCATAACACCTTGTTTATGTGCTCTTATTTGATGAGCTGTTTGGAGGATCAGGCTGTTTGTGTTAATAAGCAGGGCTACCTGATAGACTTACCCTTCATTGTAAGCATACTGGTGATGAACTAATATGGCTCTTCCATGGTGTTCCTCTGCTTTGTGCCCATGCTTGCTGGGATATGCAGAATGGATTACCATCCATCCATCCATCCATCCATCCATCCATCCATCCATCTATCTTCTAGGACCACTAATTGAAGACACCAACTCCACCAAACCTAATGTTTTTGGCAGGAAACATGAGAACATGTAAACTCTGCACAGAGAGCTGGAAGCAGGTATCAAACCCACAACCCTAGATATGTATGTGAGGCCATACTTGCTTACTCATGCTTGGCTGACAGACGTAAACGTGGGATAGGTTTAGTTGGAAATAAGTATGACTAGCCTGGCTTCAGAGGAAGTCCTTGGGATAGTGATTAGCAGGAGCTACAACCCCAAAGATGGCTGTCTTATGAACATTGACATTGAATTTCAGCTTGAATGTTAATGTTGGTCTGAAATTGGCTCTGGATCTTGTATGGCAGCAACCTGCGATGAGGTCTGATGACTCGGCAGAGCAATAATGGCAGCATTTCCGGCGCTGAAGGGTTCTGGTGCTCCGAGGCTGCGATCATTCCATTAAGCACAATGTTGATGCGAATCGGTTTCATTCTGCTTAGTGGTCTCTGTTGTGTGTCAGCACTTCTGTTCTGTTGGGGGGGGGGGGGTGACTTTTTCAGGCTTCAAGATGAGAACTGTCCAGTCCCTTGTGGGTAGGTATGGTTCTTTGATGGTTTTAGTTACACTGATGTTATCCTACAGCACCACCCTTGGTGATGCTCGTAGATAAAATAAAGCAGAGAAATGGAGAAACCTTGACTTGTTCCATATAGGGTGTGGGGATGGAAGTGATCTGAAATAACCCAGATATCCCTGACCCCCCCTGCTGGCTTTTGTCATGCAACAGTCATTAGTTAAGAAGGTTTAATATGCAGTTTGTTGCTTATTCCTTCTGTTTGTTCCTAGGCCGAAAGAGAGCCTTCGGGCCATCATCAGGAGATTGAACCACAAAGACCCCCACGTTGCCATGCAGGCTCTGACGGTGAGTTGAAGATCCTCACTAGGGTAGAACTCTTTCTAAGCTTGAAATAAGATGACCAAATTAAAGACAGGTCAAAAATTCTGGGACAAGCAACAAATGACTGGTAGTGCACTATGTTCCAGACGAAAATATAAATTATGAATGTATTCTTTTGTCTTTAAATGGCTCAAAACATTTTGTCCTTGTCTTCTGTAGCTCCTTGGGGCATGTGTATCAAACTGCGGTAAAATCTTCCACCTAGAAGTTTGTTCCCGAGACTTTGCAAGTGAAGTCAGCAATGTTTTGAATAAGGTACGGTTTTGTTGTGTGTCTGTGTGTGTGCGTGTGTGTGTTCGGCGAGTGCGTGGGGGTTTAATACATGCATCTTCCAACCACTTATCCAGTTCCGGAAATAATTTCCCAGAAGCTTTTCGAGCACGTCTCTTTATGAGAAGAGCTGCTTACATCACTGACATGAGCACCCACTTGTTGTCCCAAGGGTCATCCGAAGGTATGTGAGAAACTGAAAGCCCTCATGGTGGAGTGGGCAGAGGAGTTCCGGAACGACCCGCAGCTCAGCTTGATCTCCGCCATGATTAAGAACCTAAAGGACCAAGGGGTATCCTTCCCCACAGCTGGCTCACAGGTTTGTGGGCCTTCAGGTGTTTTCAAGATGGGACACATTGTGGTTGTTGGTGGACCTCTGGTTGGCTCGTGCCAAACATTTGACCTTCTCGACCTTCTTGTTTCAGGCAGCAGAGCAAGCCAAAGCGAGTCCGGCTTTAGTAGCTAAAGACCCCACTACCACTGTCAACAAAAAGGAGGAGGAAGATTTGGCCAAAGGTAAATACAAGGTCTCTATCTTTGGAGAAATATCCTAGCCCATATGTTAAGTTAGAAGAATTCATTCCCAAATAATACTTTGGTTGCTGGGATGTTGAGAGACGCTTAGCTCATTCCCAAACCACAATACCACTGTCACTCCTCCCATCCTTCGCCTCAGCCATTGAGTTGTCCCTGAAGGAACAAAGGCAGCCTCAGACCCCTATCACGGGCCTGTACCCCAGCACCACCAGCCTGGTGACCAACCACAAGGTCGAGGGCCGCAAGGTGAGGGCCATCTATGACTTTGAGGCTGCAGAGGACAACGAGCTGACGTTCAAATCAGGGGAGATTATCACCGTCCTAGATGACAGGTAGAAACCCTCGCACATCCATTCAGGAGCTTAGTGATCAATAGCTGTGTTTCCATTAAACCCATTCAAGGATTCAATAAGTCAACAAAGTAAAATTGAAAATAGGGTATGTTTCCATTAATGAACATATTGTAAATTCTACTGACCATTTTTGATCCCCTGAGATCCATGCCTTGTACATCAACATGGAGTGGGATCTCCACAAGTTAGAAGGTACAGAAGAACTAATCATCACTTCATACGTATCTGATACTCTGCAATTTCTGCCTCCATTACATTTTTTTTAAAGTATTGCTGGTATGACTAACCACAAAAGCTACCTCAGATGAACATTCATTATTTATAGTTTCAGCATTTGTGGTTAAATGTGTTACTTCAAGCTATAAAATACAGAAATCCAGTCTGTTACTTTTGGTTTAGGTATTTCAAATATTTTCTTGTAATAAAAGTTTGAAAAAGTAGTGTATCGTTATTTCTTTCTTATTTGGATGGTGGATCCAAATTTCTGTCCTCTATATATCAAAAACAGATCAAAAATGAATAAATAAATAAACAAAATGCAGACTAACCTTTACTTTCACTTCTGTCTATGTAGCATTTCTATTCTGTTCTTTTTTTAAACTGGTGGAAACGCGAACACACAAGTTCTCAAAAGGCACCAAGTGAGAACCAGCCTAGCACTGATTCCGTATTGGTGGAAACGAGGCAACGGGTAGAATGGAGATATTTTACACTGGTCTATATTTTCTTGAATGGATGAATTCTGTTTTTTCCCTCATCTTATCACAGTGACCCCAACTGGTGGAAGGGGGAAACATACCAAGGGGTTGGTCTATTCCCCTCAAACTTTGTAACGGCCGACCTCACCGCCGAGCCTGAGATGAGTGAGTACCAGCTCAAGCCCCCAAGCAAATCTTGCTTTCTGATTGGCTGCGAATAATGTTTTGCCCCTTCCCCTCGCCATATAGTAAAAACAGACAAGAAGACTGTGCAGTTCAGTGATGAGGTCCAGGTGGAGACCATCGAACCCGAGCCTGAGCCGGTATATATCGATGAGGTGAGAGATGGACGAAAAAATGATTTTGTCTGGTGGTAATCTTTTATGAAGATGGTATACTCAGTTTGATAGCTTATGAACATGAATCATCATATAGCTTTTGTCTACACTACCAATTAATGTGCTAGATTCGATTAATGTGCTAGATCGTCTTCCTCCATCTCAGAGATGCCTATTTTCAACCCCTGGTTTGATTTGACACCTGTGTACCTTGAAGACCTTACACGATGTACTCATGTGGCCAGTTATATTGGTACCCCGCTTCCTTTCTGACAAAACTAATGCCACCGAACAAAGTTGAAATTGAAATTTCAGATTCAGACTTTACTGATCCCTGAGGAAATTATGTGGGTACAATTGCTCCCAGACAGTAAGAAGATAAGTAACAAGTTAAATACAATAACAAATAATACAATTTACAATACTAAAATTACAAATGGACAAATATTACAATACTAAAATTACAAATCTCTAATTTCAAATTTCTAATATGCTACATAAATTACCTATACATGGGGTTGAGGTGTATAGTTGAAGTGCAGTGTAGTGTGATGCTTATGTGGAGGCAGATGGACAGAGAGCCACAGGCAGGAATGATTTCCTGTGTCGTTCAGTGGAGCAATACATTCTTCATTAGACCAATTAGTCATTTTCTCATTTGCTAGAACAAAGTCTTAATATCAAAGTTAAAATTAATAATGACCTGGACATAAATATCGGTGCCCATAACTTTAATTTGCAGAACATCCTTTGGAAACAATTTCTGCTATCAAGTGCTTTCTGTAGCCCTCAGTGAGATTTCTGCACTTCTCACTGGGTAGTTTGGCCCACTAAGTAAGCTGCTCCAGTTCTCTCAGGTCTGATGGGTGCCTATTGCAAACTGCCCATTTCAGCTTTTCCCACAGATGTTTAATTGGATTCGGATCAGGATTCGTGGCAGACCTCTTCAGTCTGGTCTAGCTGTTGCCTGCCCTCCATACCTGGATGCTTCCTCACCTGTGTTTTTAGTTGTTGTCCTGCTGGACGACTCGTGACCTGTGATGGAGACATACTGGGCAGTGCATTACCTTCCAGAATGACTTGAAATTCCTCTAATTTCATTCTGCCATTCACTGGTTCAAGACATTCTGTTCCAAAGGTGGCAAAGTATCCCCAAAACATCATCAGACCCTCTCCATGTTTCACTGTGGGTATGGTGGTGTTCCTTGTCTGCCTCTGCTTTTTCCTGTGAGCATACAGTTGCTGTGATCTACCACAAAGCTCCAGTTACGTTTTGTCAGTCCAAAGGACGTTCTCCCAGAAGGACTGTGGCTTGTTCACGTGCAAATTGGCAAACTCCAAATGAACTTTATCAGTTTGAGAAGAGGAGTCGTCCTTGGTCTCTTGCCATGAAGCCCGACTTCGTTCAGATTTCTCCTGATGGTGCAACTTGAAACATTTGCACCCTGAGCTTTGACGCTCACCTTGGATTCGTTTAGAGGAATGTCTTGGCTCTTTCTCCACCATTCAACATCCTTGGGTCAAGTGGCCAGTGCAGTTGGCTGCAGTGCCATAAGCCTTAAACTTCTTGGTAATGCTTGCCACCGTTGTCACAGGAACATCAAGCTCTTTGGAGATTGTTTTATAATCTTTGCTTTGATCGTGCTTGGCTCAGCTCTCAGCTCCTCAGACAGCACTTTGGTCTTCTTTTCTATGATACACACAATGCCATTAAACATTTAAACTAGCTGAATGAGTGATTAGATAACTGAAAATGTGATACTAATTAAGGGAGAGGAGGTCTACTTGAAAATCTCTACAGTATATTTTCCCCCATTACTTCTTAAGGGTACCAGTAACATTGTCCAGGCCATTTCAGGATGTCTCTGTAATATGAGCACAAAATCTGTATTTTTTTCCCCCCAGCTTTTTCGTTTCATACCATTGTAAACCTGAGCAATGCTTGTATGGGTGACAACAGATCTTTCATTTTCAGTATATTTGAGTAATAATATGGCATTATTTGAATCGGCGGCACATGTACGAATATCATCCACATCTGTATCCCAGAACCTCCTTATTGGAGATTTAGTTGGATTTCCCAGTTTTGTTCCTGCAGTCTAATTAAATCCTCAATGGCTCTGTTACAAGGTGCTGGCTTATATCAGTGCAAACACATTCCTGTTCACATCCGCCATGTTCTTTAAATTAAGCCTTTAGCCCAGTTACATTTTTCAGTTCCTTGTGTACACACACACACACACACACATACACACACTGGGTTCTTTGGGTGAGGATTTAGAGGCCCCTTGGGAACCTTGGCAAACATCAACAATCTGATCTAACGTACTTTCTTGCAGGAAAAAATGGATCAGTTGTTACAGATGATCCAGAGTGCTGACCCCACAGATAACCAACCCGATCCTCCAGATCTTCTACACCTGGAAGGTAAGACCTACCAGCTGGGAGGTCCTCCAAGAGCTTACCATTGACAGACAGACACATGGTTTGTTTATTTGTTATCCGTTAGCCTGGGGATGCACTTTCGTTCCCAAGTTTTCATCTTAGGGGCTTGACCTTCTGCTTGCCGGTCTTGTTTAACAAAACTCCTTCGCTCTGTCATTTCCTCAAGCTGCGTGCAACCAGATGGGCCCTCTTATTGACCTGAAGCTGGAAGATATCGACAGGTAAGAAATTCTGGAATGTTTAACCTGTTAAGTAGTTTATGCCCCCTCCTTAAATACATAGGGAAGACATGGTTTGTGTGCAGATTTGATGAAGGATTTTTTTTTTTCCTGTTGTGGAGGTCTTTTGGTAAGATGAAGCTCTGACCCCCCCCCCCCCCCCAGGAAGCACTCAGAGTTGTCAGATCTCAACGTGAAGGTGATGGAGGCTCTCTCATTGTACGCCAAGCTGATGAACGAAGACCCCGTATACACCATGTATGGAAAGCCACAGACCCAACAGTACTATGTACCCGCAGGGTCTCCGCAGGTGGGTGTCAGATATTTACACTGATTTACTCTAGTGCAGGGTAAATATTTCTTAAACTAGTTGCAATAAACTCCCTACCAAGTCAAGTGGGCTGTATTGTCGTACCACTCATGTGCATGGTTACGGTGGCGCAAAATATGTCCTCCAGAACCATTGGGTAGCATACAAACAGCAAGTGACAAGAGAAGGGCTTTCACAGTATTTAAGGTGTAAAAACACAGAACAATGCAAAATGGTGGAGGGGCTGAACTATGTACACAGTGTGATGTCTGTGTAATTAGTGAGTCACCACGTAAGGAACTAAGGGACAGAGGGGCTTGAATACTGGCTTCTCGAAGGCTTCCTTATCTTGTGAACCCTGCCGAACTCTTGGCCACATCGTACAACACCTTTGATCTTTTAACTGAGGTCATCGACGTGGCATCCTGACTCTGGGAGACCCCAACAAATCGAGCCACTGTGAAGTCTGGTTCAGACATGCTGCCTTCTATGGTGCTTGACGTTTGAGTCTTGCGGCAGCGCTAGTCAGCCATTGTGATGTTATTCGTTGGACCACCATGGTTTGGTTAATCTGGTTAGCTGCTGCGTCACCGGTCTCCCGGGCTTATGATTCGATGTCTCCCCCCGTTCTTCTTTCCCAGGTATATCCAGGTCAGCTCCAGGGCGGCACATATGCAGTGGGTGGGGCACCGGGGTATTCCTTGCCTCCAGAGCAGCTACCCTCGCTGCCCCCTGCTGGCCAGCCGGCTTCCAGGTGAATGATGTCGTCCGTGCATGTTCATCTGAGGGTCCTCTAGGTACACGCCGTGTTTGCATGATGAATCATCATGACCTCATGGTCTTCCCTCTTTACAGCATCATGATGAATTCCACTCCAGCCAGTGGCTACATGGCTGTGTCTGCTGCCTACAGCCCCTCCCCTGCTGGGATGGCCCCCACCGACCTTCAACCATATGAGGCCTCTCTGAACGGGGCAGCTGCAGTGCCCCAGGGCGTCCCACAGTCCGCCGATGGCCAACAGCAAGTGTATACCCAGAAGGCCTTGCTGTAGGGCTCCTCCAAGTCTCCCTCCCCGGACTGGATCTCCGGCTTCTCTCTGTTGAATGTTAAAGGAGCTGAGATCTTAAGGGTGTTCGGAGTGGGGAGGGGGGGTTCAGGGCAGTGCTGTCTGTAGATTTTGGTACTGTACGACAGGAAGCGAGTGCTGCCTGACTGGTTCAAACTGGAAAAGGCATTAAGGATTTGTTTCTGTTCTTGTTTTTTTTTCCCCCCCACACTCCTAGTAAGGAACACTAATTAGTCAAAGGAATCTAATAACACTAGGATGTCATATCGTAACTGTCACACGATCTTAGGAGGTTTTACTAAAGACTTCACATCAAGGCAGCAACGTAGTACAGATAAAAATAAAGCTGTATGCACATGCCGTACATGTGAAAGCATTGGGGGTCTACTTCCGGTTTTGGTCTTTGATTGGCCTGACCCAGGTACCAAACCAGGTACGGCATTAATGGCTTTAAACAGTGTTCTGTTGATTTTACATTATGGTGACTTTGTATGAGAAATAGCTGTCTTGTTTTTGTAGTGTATTTTAATTTATATTCGATTCTTTTTACTGTTATGAAATAATTTTAATGCACAACATTATGGGAAATGTTCTAATGTGAAGAAACGACTATTCATTCAAGTTCCCCATAATGCCCGTAGTCACATTTTTCAAACTTGTAACTGTATTCTTTGGTGAACCAATACATCACTTCCTGTCTGGTTGAGGGAAGAACATGATAAACACTATTGCATGGGCCATTAATGAATTCCGACTGTGCTGGTTCAGTTGCACTTTGAAGTTTGAGCACTAAGGGACCAGGACTTGTTGAGCACCTATGAGTTGGTGTCCGTTTGTCCCTTATGGGAATGACGAGAGTGATGCTCCCTGGCCTCAGCCTTTGTCCTGGAGATGGACATACTGTAAAATTCAGCGTGGCGTCTCCAGTTTCCATTCCCGGGCAGCACTTTAATCTCACATCCCTCGAGCGTGAACTAAACTCCATTATCCGCTTGTCGACTGTAGCCAGGATTGGGTAACCACAGCAGATCTGGACCAGAACACAATCAAACTCTAAAGAATGAGGGACACTTTGTGGGTACCTGTCCTCATGGGTCTGCAGCGTCTGAATCGCGCCAGAACTTCCCATCCTTTATAGTGTCGAGTGAAAGGCAGAGGGGCAAGAGAAACAGTTGATGGTCATTAATATTTGAGGTGTTACTCAAACAGCTGCCCGCATGCATCTATCACAGTATTATGTTATTACAGTTTCAGAGACTGGCAGTGATTGTAGTCTGTTCCTCGTTAAGATATTTCCCGTACTGTCCCGATGACCAGGGAAGCTTCCGGCTTTTAACATTTAATTATTCAAAGTCTCACTGTGGAGAACATTGACTTAAGTGACAGAAGCGGTTCCTGGTTGAGGAATGATGAATCGTTATCGTGGGGAACGCTGCCATCTAGTGGTACGGAGGTCCAGACGAGTGGGATTTGTCTGGGGCGACTTGGCTGTGCCTGTGTAGTTTGGGATGCGGTTATTAAAAATGTACAATTTTCACGGTGCTTTGTCTGAAGTACGGCGCGCACCTTTTCTGGTAATGGAGATCCTTCACTGCTAGCTGATCATCTAAGTCAAGCTTTGTCTTATCCGCAGAAATGCTGCGGATTGCGAAACGAATGATTGCACTAAACAGCCCGTGCAAAGCCGGTCTTGTAACGGACTTTCTGCATGTGTAACTTTTCTTTTGAAGCGTGTCAGGTTGTGGCTGCTAGTTAAAATATATGGTGGGGAAACAAAGGAAACCAGTATCCACATTGTGTCGTACTGCTTTCAGTTCGTTTGTGATGTATGCTGTTAAGAAGAGTCCAGATTTTGTTTTGTTGATTTTTTTTTAATTTTTTTTTTTTGTATAACGATCTGTCTACAGACTCAAATAACATGTTGATTAGAAGGCTGATGATCTTGCACTGTGTTCCTCTAGTTAAAAGCAGCTGGAAACATATACATACATTTCAGTAGATATGCTTTTGTAGTTATGGTTTGCCTGAAGCATTTAATGGACTGTAAGGAATAAGGTGCACATTAATTAATTTTTATATATTTTTTGTTCCTAACTGTTTATTTTTTCGACCAAACTGTGAAGAGTCCAGCGTTAGGACCAGTGACTTCAAATTAACATTTTTAAAACGTTGTTTTTTGCGAATTTGGCATGCTTTGAACTTTTAGCGACCTGTCAAATCCGGTTACAGTTAAGTCCCCCCCCCCCCTTGCACTAATATATTTTGTTTCTGTTTTTTCTTATTAACAAAGAGTAAAAATGTAGAGAGAGCTGTTTATAATCTGTGATGCACACAGGCCATGAGTATTCCACATCTACAGGAAATGTCAGACCTTCTCTTGAAGTCCTGTGGCCTTCCAGCTGCTCTCCTAATGATCTGCTGATTGTTTGCCACTGTGCACCTCATGGAGATGATAATCGGTTCAGGGGATGAGGATTAAATGAGGCTAGTGCTTTCTTTGCCTTTCTGTTCATTTAAAAAAAAAAAAAAAAAAAAAACTAAATTAGTGAATGTTGGTTTGTTAACTTTTTTCTTATGATTTAGAGTGAGATCCTCAGTCGTGCGGTGTGTGCTCTGCTATCCCAAGCAGACGTTCTTCCTAAGAATCTCATCTGTCTATGTCTTCAGTGGCCTGAGGAGCATGAGTGCCGAACTGAATATCGTCTCATAATTATCCAACAGGGGGCGCAGCGGTTAAACAATGGTTATCAAACTGAAGATCTCCTGCTCAGAATGGAGAGTGGCTCCTGCTCCCCTTAGAATAAGAAATTCCCCAATGCAGCTAATTCTGGATAGGGTGGTATTATGGGATGTTTAAATGTATGAGAGACAATGTAAATAATTCATTTTAATGAGGACATCAGCTGCACTGTGTATAGCTGTCTGTGTACTGGAAGCTTTTTGGTGGGGGGTTGTGGATGGTGCAGATGCCTGTAGAACTGGTCCAGGCTGTCATTGACATCCTGTATGTATGTATATTAATGTCCAGTACTCCCCCCCCCCCCATCTACTCCTTAGCTTATGGAGTGAAGTTTNCCGCCCCATCTACTCCTTAGCTTATGGAGTGAAGTTTTTGGTTTGTTTTTTGGGGGGGGCAGCTGTCACTGTGTTATACGTAAATGCACGTGCCCCCTTCTGCCACTGGATGGCAGTGTTTAGTAGCGGTACGTGAGGCAGTCATGTGCCGTCTTCAGCATTGCCTGTGTCGTGATATTGTAAACGAGCGAGCACCAACACTTTTCTGCTATAGACCTCGAATGAGTCCATCCCTGTGAAAACGGAGCTGTTGTTACCGGGTTATGAATGCATTAAGACTTCAAACGCCTGTGTTTTTCTTCCCGAGATTAAAAATGAAAAATTATTAAATGTTTTTTTGAATTCTTTTTTCCTTCTAATTTTACTCTGTGTTGAGGTTTTGTGCTGTTGCTGCATAATATTCTCACTTCAAAGATCGCAGCCAAAATGAGATTACAGCCATTAGTATGTTGCTCCTCCTTTAGACACATCGGAAAGACCGGAAATAGTATTTTAAGGATGTCTTGTTGATTAGGGTGATCAGATAATCCATTTCAGGGAGGACACTTTGAGCTACTTCAGGTTTTGCAGACTACTGAAACTGAAAGGCTCCTGTGTTTGGCTAAATTCATCCAACTCTTTCACATTAACATTTATTAAACATGAATGTTTATATGAGACTGACCAGTCAGCGCACGGCAAAAACTCAGTGCTTAAGTGAATTCCAGGTCATTTTAACTGAAATGGTAGTTTACAAATCCTGTCCAAGATCAAAGTGTCCTCCCTGATGTAGATTATCTGGTCAACCTACTTTTGATAGTCAGCCAAAACAAGCTTGGAGAGACAGCCTCTCTGTGTTCCAGTTTCTTGGTGAAGTTATATACTTATATTTCGTATTGTATATTTTATGTAGTGGTTGTTTGATTGAAGTGTGTTTATTTGGTCATCTTAAAGTCGTGGGTTCCTTAAGTCTTAAGGTTCCCCCCTTGTCTCCGTGTGTTTGGCACCTGCAGAAAATTTTGATGGGGGTGGCCATCAGGGATTAGTTGTATTTCCGGGGTTGGTCACACCACACTGTCACTTCTATGCTTGAAAATTAAAATAGTGCATGTTTCGTTTTCACTAATTTGATGTGGGGTGACAAGAGGGGCAACCACATATTTATATCTGCCCCCTGCTTAGTCTTCCCTGCGTGGAAGTATCACTAGTCCGCAAACCCTAACCTTAAACCTCAATCATGTTAATTCAGTCTGCTCGGCAAGGGTCGCTCATCAGGCTTTCTGCAAGAACACCAATATGCCAAAAGTAGAGGGGTTTAATGTTGATAAATAGGGAGGTGTGTGGCTCAGCCACTTATGATGCTGGTCCTGTGGTCGGGAGGTTGCTGGTTTAACTCCCAGGGTCGGCAGATTGATTCCAGCATTGGGCCCCTGTTGAACCCCAATTGATCCAGGCACTAGATGACCCTGTTTTCTCAATTATATTGATGTTTGCTTTAAAGCATCTGCTAAATAACTGTAAAAATGACATCAGTACGTATCCGTTTAGTGACCGTTGAATTGGGACCCTACGCGCCTCCCGTAGTGACGGCACAGCTACGTCCGTTGGCAGCCACACCAGCAGGGACACAATGCCTGCCGCCGCATAAGCGGCCGAGCGTGCAGCCTCTGGGCCTGAGTCCAGTGTGTGGAAAGTGCTGGAAGGTGGAAACAATGATTTGGGGGCCGTTGTATGAGGGGACAGGGACTGGCCACAACAACTCCCTTGTATCTCCTCCTCACCCCCTAACCCCCCCCCTCCCCGGGTTGTCCTCCTGCACCAGGGGGTTTGGATGGAAGGATGGGCTCCAGGAAGATGGTCAAATTGGCTCTGTGTGAGGCGCTGCAGTTCAGTGCACTGGTCGTGCCGCTCTTGGTGGTGACGCTGGAGTTTGCGGCCGTCGTGTGGCACGTCCGCAGCAGCGCCATGCCCTCAGGGGACGCCTACGCCCCCTACTGGCTCATCGTGGCCACCTCTGTCTCCTACGTCACCACCGTGGCACTGCTGGTCTGGGTGCCCATGAAGTACCTGATCTTCAAGAAGAGGAGGTTCTTGATTGGCAGGAAGAAGTGGTGAGTGGGTTCCATGATGTTCTGGAGGTGGGTCTTTCCGATGGGGGGGTACAGGACACTCATTACTGACCAAAATAGGTTAACGTGGGACACTATTGACCGAAAAAGCTTAACATTCTATAGCACGGCCTAAGATTATGATTTCAAACATGCACTTCTTTCATTGAAGACAAGTTTAGTTGTGCGTCCCATACAAAAATATATGGTATTGTCACTTAAGGATGTTATGGGATCAGTCCCTCAGCCATCAGTGTTTCCAGCTTATATGCTGAAGGAACATACAGATAAGTTGTGTAGTTTTTACAGTGGTAGTCAAGCTCCATTTCTGCTGTAAATATCCAGCTGCGTACGTGGGTGTAGTGCATTTTATATGTACTCAGAGGAAAAATGCCTTTGGCCACACAATAACCTGTAGTCAGAGGGAGGCTGTTAAATCTGCGGGTCTGCTGAGTTCTTTGAGCAGAACTTTCCAGCGGCTCCATGCCGAGCTGAATGAAATCGTCTAGGTTGAAAGTGTGCATGTTCTGGGGGGGGCAGTCTGTTCTGTCAACCTGCGCTCTGTGGAAACTCCCTGCAAGGACCGTTGTGCAAAATAAACTTGTCTGACTTGACAGTTTATGCTACTTTAGAAGGCAGCACAAAGCATGGTAGTTATGATTTTGGGCCTTAGGGGGTGCTGACATTTTGTTTTTGAGAGTGACACTTTTAGCTCCATTGTGTGGGTGGATGTCCTAGATAAAACACTAACAGGCTAATAAGAAGGTGCTCGGGGAGTTTAACATGTTCCTTACTCAAACTCAACTGGAAAAAAATACAAGTTGTGATGGTAAACTTGTTTTAGCCTAATTATGTCATTAATGGAGGTAAGCTGGGCTTCAATGACAAGCTGTGTGTCGTGTGACGGCAGGGATCGGGTGTGTAGGGAGATTGACATTGTTTTTGAAAGGCTGAGAAGACAAGATGGCAGCTTCAATCGCTTGCAGCAAAAGCCAAGAAATGAGATTCAGCTTCAAATGATGTCATTTTGGATGGTGACAACTTTAACATACCTTGACATGCAATAGGCCGGTGAAATCAAGGATTGAAAAATGTGGATATCATAACCTTGGGGGTTGTCAGACTAGATTAGCGCTGGGTTAGCTCTAACAAATAACAAATTATGGTTGAGCGCGACTCAACCATAATTACGGTAGTGAGACCTCACGGCCTCGTCACAGACCAAGAAAACTGAGGGTGTAGATGCTGATAGGATGGAGGATTTGTCTGGAGAGTCTCATTTCGATGCCGCTAATTCCCTTTGCTTCCCTTTTTCGTGCTAGTAGGACTTTTAGGTATGAGTTTTAATTTCCAATTGTAGAAGCACCAAGCAAAGCCAGACCACAGTGTTCGCCCTTGGGTTAGTCGGGGTGTCCCATTGCCGTCCCCAGTATGCGCTGCCCCTTGACTCTCGTCTTTCAGGAGACCGGTGGCCCTGGCCTACGTGATCTTGTCCACGCTCCCGTGCTTCGCCTTCCTGATCGCGAGCGCCGAGGTAACAGCGTGGGCGTCGTCTTGTCTTCCTTGTCCAGTCTAACAGCAGCTGTCCATGATGGCCGTCCTTGGTCCACACTCTCACCAGTGGCCTTCTTAACCTTCTCCAATGAAGCCTTGGTTAATTTGTGTTAACGCTTTACTATTAGCTCATGTTACATCGGGATCCAGTGCGCCTCGTTGTCCCCCTCACCGCTTATTCTACTGTCTGTCCATGTGGGCCCCCTCTCCATTGAATATTCTTCCAATCATCCTGTCACCATCCGTCCATTCATCTTCCCTAACCTCTCTTCCAATACTAGGTCACATTGCTAGCAGGAGATGTACTGTACACACTGTTACACTATCAGACACTTACAACCACAAACAAGGGCATGTTAGAGATGCTGTGTGGGTCATTCGGTTACGATGATGCCCCTGTGATGGGAAGATTCAAATCCAAGGGCTGGCAGAGTGATGTCATTGGGCCCTTGAGCAAGACCCTTAGCCTCTAATTCCTCCGGGGACCTTCTGACCCTAAGAAAAGCACCTAGAGGCAGATTCACCCAACCTCATGTTTTTGGGCCAAGGGAGGGAGTCAGATTTTCAAATGAAAGTCAAAATTGTACAAAGATGGAGAGAATATGCACGCACAGAGACAGGAGCTTGGAATTAGATGCATTATAGAAACCCCAACCCAAATCTTCATTATTCAGTTGCATTATCATATTGGTCTTTTACTGGACAGGACAGTCACTTGATCTCTTAAAGTACATGTTGGCTTTAAAGGGGTCGCTCACCATTGGCCGGTATGGGGGTGCTCACAATTGGCCTTCAAGGGGTCACCAACCGTTGGATAGCATGGGGACGCCTCGCTGTTGGCCGGTGTGGGGACACTCTGTATTGGCGTTTAAAGGGGTCATGGATAATCTGGCACTTTTAGTGCTGGAACTCTTCAGACACAAAAATTTGCTGAGCATAGCTCAGGAAATGGCTAAGCACAAGGTAGAGAGGACAATGCTGATCATGTGAGCCCCGGTATGCCTCCTGA